CAAAGCCTTACATACTCTCTTTCTACCTTGTACGAGTGCTATTCTTTCAACGAAATTTTACAGAAAAGAGATCAAAAAACAGTTGAACATCCTGGACACATGGCTTGGGCTCGAGTCGAACGAGCAATCTCTGCTGTACTAGCGGTCATCGAAGAAAAGAAGACACAGGCAAATGGCTTGGGCCCGAGTCGAACGAGCGATCTCTGCACTAATTTCTTCGTACTGTACCGATTTGTATGGTAGCAACGTAACACATAACGCAGGCCTCAAAATGTTGCCTAAATCGCCGCGTAACGCACAATTTTCGACTTTTTCGGCCTGCTTTGGGTAAATTTTCGGCCCTGCGGGGCTGTGACCTTCCTTTTTAGGCAATTCCGGTGCCAAATAAGGCAAGTGTTGCTAGCTCCAAACCCAAAATTTTCGTAACGCCTCCGGCGTGGTTGCTTCCATACAGATCGGTACAGTATAGCAGTAATGGAATGCAGATACACTCCGAGTGCGACCAAGCCCTTCCTGAACCTTGTACAAACTTTCCTATCCTTTCAATATTACATACAGAAAAGAGCAAAAAAAAAGCCGAAATCAAACTCGGAAATGGCTTGGGCTCGAGTCGAACGAGCGACGTCTGCTGAAACACGAAGACTCGAGATTGAGCTGAAAGTACTGCATGCAGATACACACCACGTGCAACCAAACCTTTCCTCGTTCGCTTTGTACCCATGTACGAGTCCTATCATTTCCAGTCAACTTTACAGTAAAGAGGATAAAAATAGCATCCTGACACAGGCAAATGGCTTGTAGGTTCGGAGCAAGCCCGCGCAGCTCCGGCCCGGCAAGCCGGGCGCCTTCGCTGAAGGGGCTTGCTTCAAACACCGGCAAACACTGGACGTACCTTTTCATTCATCACCACTTCAATTTGACCTCAAATGCTTGGATCTCACCGGGAGGCTTTAGGCAGGACCCTAGGCTACCATCCTATTGCTTTCGCTAGTGCAACGACCCCTTCGACATTGCTCTATACAGCCAATTCCTCGGCCAACGGGCCTTTTCGGAGATCCCTTGCTCCTGGTCTAGAGAATAGGCGGATCCCCATATTCATATAGTACATTTCAATGGTAGACATCCTGCCTATGTCCATGAATATTTTCAGGCATTTCTGGAACATTGGCGGCATGTCCTGGCGCTGTGGAAGACGGGGAGCCGGTTATGTGACACGTGTGACATTCGTCACACAGCGCGCTCCCCTGGTCGACCACCTGCGGCAATCTCATTGGAGATACTGTTCCAACGACTTGAAGACATATATAGCCTTAGGAACCTTCAAACAAATGCTGGCTGGTCTTTTCTTTTGCTTACATATCTTAATGAATGATGTTGTCACTATCGATCTGTAATTTCATTCTGTTTCTCTTCGAAGGCACCATCCACCATTCCGGCTGTCGAAATGTGGTATAGGATGTCCGATTGGCTACAACACCACAACAGAATTCGACTCTAACCATCGTTTTAGCGCAGGGAAGGAACACTTTTCCAGAATCTGTCTGCATGTCGATTTTAAGCCTACTCGGCTGTGGATAGGGATGGTTCGTCGCGAGGAGTATCTGTGAGGGGTAGAATATGGTTTGTCAACATATGGGACATTTTTGAGCCCATGGCTGTGTGTAGGGAATATTTTACTGTGCTCGATGCGCCAATCACCAGCGTGGGAATGTAAGTGATGGCGCCTTTTTCTGAGACAAAGTGCAACAGAACTCTGGCACAAGGGCGCGGAGTCTCTTGGCGAGTGACGGGTCATCAATTTATATATGCAAGCAATGTTTCCCAAAGAGCACCCTTTTTTATGTCCCTAACTAAATATCTATGAGGTGATTCAAAAAACAGCTGGTTTAAGGCACTTTTCGAAGGCTTCAAACTCGATGAATCCGAGAGTAAATATTACGGTCCCAAGGGCCATCTTGTAGGCCGGCTAATGATCTAAAACCTTTAGCTTTTGACCCAGATGGAAGGAGCCCGCGATGTGTCCACAGAGGCCGATTTCTAGGTCCTCTGTTTGACGGAGTTTGCAGCAAGCCCCTTCTGACGAAGGCGTGTTTGGTCTATTTGTTCGGTATTTGTCTCGCTTTGTTCTCGCTCGGCATCGCGCGGCTTCGTCAGAACGGGGCTTGGAACGAACCTAAATGGCTTGGGCCCGAGTCGAACGAGCGATGTCTGCTGATGCCATCATGCTGGAAGAAGATACGGCCCGCAGATGCACACCGCGTGCTTCCAAGCCTTTCTCACTCCATTTGAATCTTACCCAGCCCAAAATTTCTTTCAATCAGATGTTATTATAAGGAAAGCAAAAGCTAAGAAAAAGGGGTTTAGCAGATTGTGATGGCTCGGGCCCGAGTTGAACGAGCGATGTCTGGATTAATTCCCGCGGGTCCGTCTAACTAGATGTAGACGCACACCGCGTGCAACCAAGGCCTTTCCTGTTCTATTTGTGCGCTGTACATTTTTTTTTTTTTTTTTTTCATGGACTGTTGAGAGAGAATCAAAAACACCGTATCATTTATTCCTCGTGGCCTTGGGCCCCAGTCGAACAAGCCATGTCTGCTGTAGTACTCGCGATAATTATCAACCACACGCATGGCACGCAGATGCACACCGCGTGCGACCAAGCCTTTGCTTCAAAGTTCATTCTCGACCTTGTATGAAGCCTATCTTTCCAATCAACGTTTGCAGAAAAAGCGAAGAAAAAGGGGCACCAAATCGTAGTTATGGCTTGGGCCCGAGTCGAACGAGCGATGTCTGCTGTACTGTAGTTGAGAAAATGGAACAGCACGCAGATGCACACCGAGTGCAACCAAGCCTTCCCCGTTCCCATCTCGACCTTGTACGAGTTTACGAATCCTATTCTTTCGACATGATTTTGTGGTGGAAGAACAAAAAAAAAGAGGTGCTTACCCTGACCGCATGGCTTGGGCCCGAGTCGAACGAGCGATGGCTGCATTACTTCCCTCTGGCCATGGGGTCAGATAGCTCATGGGATGCAGATGCACACCACGTGCAACTAAGCCTTCCTCATTGAACGGAACGTCATAGTACCAGTCCTGTTTGCTTCACAAAATGTTTTCGGAATGAGGCTTTTTAAAAAAAACGGCAAGGCGACATGACATATCCATGGCTTGGGCCCGAGTCGAACGAGCCATGTCTGCATTAACTTCTGTCGGTCCCTCTCACTTCTCACTATACGCAGATGCACACCGCGTGCGACCAAGCCTTCCCCATTCCATTTGTGCCTTGCAAGTGCCTTGTACGAGTGCTATTTTTTCAACAATTTTTTTAGAAAATTAGGCCTAAAAAAAGGGCAATGACTCATGGGTACGGACGAGTGGCTTGGGCTCGAGTCGAACGAGCAGGATCTGCAGCACTTTGAGAGATAGAAGAAGACAATGAATGCGGATGCACACCGAGTGCCTCCAAGCCTTCCTCTCTCTATTTGTGCCCTCTACAAATCCTGTCCTCCGCCCGATTGTGTAAAAATGAGAACTTATGAAAAAGAAGGAGACCTCAAATCACATATAACGGCTTGGGCCCGAATCGAACGAGCAATGTCTGCCGAAACATGAGGAGGAAAAACGGCACGCAGATGCACATCGCGTGTGACCAAGCCTTCCTCGCCCCCTTCTCGACCTCTACGACTCGTATTTTTCAGTCAATTTGAACAAGAGAGATTAGAACAAAAAAGTATGTTCTTGGTCTTCGGAGCCATGGCTTGGGCTCGAGTCGAACGAGCGATGTCTGCATCAAGTGTCGCCAACCATTTACTATATGCCGATGCACACCGTGTGCAACCAAGCCTTCCTTACTCCCCATTCCCTTCTCTTACTGTAGGAAGCCTCACTTTTCCGATCATCATTTACATGGAAGGAGGAAAAAAAGGGTTGGTCTAGCGTGCCTATGGCCTGGGCTCGAGTCGAACGAGCGACGTCTGCTGAAACACGAAGACTCGAGATTGAGCTGAAAGTACTGCATGCAGATGCACACCACGTGCAACCAAACCTTTCCTCATTCGCTTTGTACCCATGTACGAGTCCTATCATTTCCAGTCAACTTTACAGTAAAGAGGATAAAAAGAGCATCCTGACACAGGCAAATGGCTTGGGCCCGAGTCGAACGAGCAAGGTCTGCTGTACTGTTTTTTTTGAAGATAATCGTCAATGGACACAGATGCACACCGAGTGCGACCAAGCGTTTCGCATTCTGTTTGAACCTTGTTGGAGTCCTACATTTTCAACATGATTTCATAGGCAGAAGATAAAAAAGGCGAGTCGATTGAGCGATTGCCGGCAATTCCGCGAATGAGATGCAGATGCACACCACGTAACCAAGCCTTCCACTCTCCGGTTGTGCCCTAAAATCTAGCCCCTTATTGGAGCTTGATAGAAAAAGAGCATAAAAATGGGTGTGTATTATTCTCTGTGATGGCTTGGGCCCGAGTCGAACGAGCAACGTCTGCTGAAGTCGTGGTTGTGGAAGAAAAGAACGGCGCGCAGATGCACACCGAGTGCGACCAAGCCTTCCCCTGTCCGTTTGTGCGCTGTATGAATCTTATCCTTCCAATCAATATCTGCAGGGAAGGGACAAAAAAGTGTGTCTACGCACACATGGCTTGGGCTCGAGTCGAACGAGTGATGTCTGCATTAAGTTCACCGACAATTTCCTGGATGGGATGCAGATGCACACCGAGTGCTTCGGAGCCTTTTCTCATTCCATCTGGTCTTGCAAGAGTCCTATTTTTTCAGCCAATTTCGTAGGAATGAGAGAAAAATGATTGTTGATGTTGCAAACATGGCTTGGGCCCGAGTCGAACGAGCAAGGTCTGCTGGACTGAAAATCATGGCGGAGAAAATACGGCGCGCAGATGCACACCGTGTGCCGAATTCCTCTCTTTATTTGTGCCCTGTACGAGTTTGTTCAACAATTTTGCAAAAAGAAATCTCGAGACGGTTCGCGGATGGCTTGGGCCCGAGTCGAACGAGCGATGTCTGCTGTATGCAGTCGTGGAAGAAAAAACCGCACGCAGATGCACACCGAGTGCGACCAAGCCTTTTCTAAGGGTATTTCAGCCTGCCTAAGCGCCCAGATTAATTTGGGTAGATTCGATAACAAGGAAGCGCCGACGAGGAGCCGGATCCATCTGAGCGTCGGCCATGGCCAGGAACTTTGGAACATCGAAGGCAGGATGGGTGCAGAACGGAGTGCGTAGACGCGGAGAAAGACGTTGCAGATATACTGGGTGTGGAATTTCAGGGACGGAGGACAAAATGAGAACAGAAGGAATTAAATATTTCGGGGAAGACAGAAGGAAGAAGGAAGAATGTGGGAAAGAATGGGCTGGGAGACTTCCGAGTCGGCGGAGGTGGTGGTGGGTTCGAAATTGAAATTGAAATTGGGCTGGGCCTCGCAGCTCAGAGTTTCTTCGCATATGTCGCCTACAGAGAGCTTCAAACAAGCATCATCTCCCCCACGAAGCATTCTGGAGACAGTGTGAAACATACGCCAAATCAAAAATACGCGAGCGCGATTCTCCGTCCCACAAGATGGCTGTCTGAATTCGGAGCTTGAGAGACCCGTCCGACCATCGTGACTTGCGGGGCTAACGGTATTGGCTGTATTGCTGTATTGTTGACGTATAAATATATTCCACCGGTGGAGAAGACAGGACGCTAACGGGATCCGGGCATGTCCATAGAATAGGATTGGAGCGGTATATTGGTGCCAGGTCGGACGTGGGATTCAGAGAATTGGCGTGGATCGAGTACACGGTATTGACCCGTGCAAAAAAATGCTGAAAACGAGAAAAGTGGATAATCACCTCGATATCCTTTTTCTCCAGGACGAGATGGAGGACAATACGGAGGTGAGACACTGAAAGGCACACGAGCAGCCGGGGGTAGAGCGTGTCAAACACTGTGTCCAGCTGACCCCTAGGATGTCACATGCGCTCACGCGGGCTATGACTGACTTGCTTCCTGCCGCCTAGATTCCGCCTGCCTAGACCAAGACCAAGACTCAGAGCTCGCTTTAGATCTCCTCTCTAGCCTACAGATACGGGCTACAGGCTACAGCGACGCCCGATACACGAACGACACTAGATTTTCGTTTCTAGACCGCCGCATCAGAGCACGATGGCAGACGAGCCTGGGGACGACCGCCGGAACCGATTCCTCGCCGACTCTGGCGGGAATAGCGCCAATAACAACAACGCGGGCAATGGCAATGGATCTAGCACTGGCACCGGAAACGGGAATAACTCTAACGGTGGCGGCGGGGGCAATGGGAATGGGAACGGACACGCCCAACGCGCAGCCTCGCAGCCGCCGCGCACGGGCAGCAGCGCCTCCCCGCGCCCCTTCCTCTCCCCCTCTGCCGCGCACGCCATCCCTACCCAGCAAAACACCAGCCCCTGGGGCGGCCTCACCCCCTCCTCCGTCTCCTCCCGGAGCGCCTCCTTCTCCGCCCCGCGCTTCGCATCCACGTTCGAGGACGACGAGCTCGTCGACCCCGACGACGAGCTGTACGATGCGCGCTATAACGGCGGCCATGGGTCGCCCGTCGCCTCGCCCGTGTTGTCGAATTCGTTTTCGGCGGCGGGGTACAGAGGGCGCACGGGGGCGGGGACGGATCTGACGCGCAGCCGGTCGCAGAGTCTTGCTACCACCACTGCGACCGCCACCGCTATCGGCGCCGGGCGCAACTCCAGTGGGGGCGGGGCGTACGGCGGGATCGGGAGCGCGGCGAATAGTTATGCGAATGCGTACCTCTACGGGAATAATGCGTATGGGCATCCGTACGCTTCCAACAACTCCAACTCGAACTCCGGGGGTGGTGGGATTGGCATCGCGGGCAGTCTGGGGGGCACGACAGGGCGGTACGCGGGCTCCCCGTTGGTGAGGAGCGGGAGCATCAGCAGCGCGGGTGGGGGCGCGGGGGAGGACGGGACGAATATGTCGCCGTTCGTGAGGGATGTGGGGAGTATTCTGTTGGATGATGGGAGTTTTAGGGAGTTGTGGGAGCGCGAGAGGGGGATGGGGATTGGAGGTGGAGGAGGGGGGTAGTGGGTTTGGTGGGAGGGAGGGCGGGAGGGAGAGGGAGTATGGTACGTGGTTTTTCTCTTTCTTTTCATTTCGGGCTTTTCCCGCGTTTTGGAGGCTTTTTTGCGGGGGGGGGTTTCTTTCTTTTTTCCATCGCTTTCTCTCCGTCGCATATCTTTCTTGCCTTTTGCGACGAGGCGGAGCGAGTACGCCCCGGGCTGTGCATTTTTTCTTTGGCTTTCTTGTCTTTCTTCCCGGGCACGCTTCGGGCGTATGTCGGTCCCGGGTCGACTTGTCCATCTTACTTTTCTGGTCCTGCCAGCGCATGACATGGGCGGACGTGGGCGGACGGATGCGAATGCGGTCTCGTCCGAGCTCGTTCCCTGTCGCTCGCGACTTGACCCCGACGCGCGAATTTTTTTGGGGCTGGTGTCCTTATTGCATTCGCATTCGCATTTCTTTTTTCACCCTTGTTCGGGGGTGCTTGGCGGGCCGCTTTTTGCCCCACTCGGTCCTATCTGCTACCCACGCGCCTGAGGACGGAGCCGAGTCGCGGGTCTTGTTTTCCTGCTCTGTTGCTATTTTTTCCGCGGGCGTATGTCGGTCCCGTGTCGACTTGCCCATCTTACTTTCAGGTTCCTCCTTTCTTCGTTTGCCCGTATGGGCGGATGTGGCAGGGCCTCGTCCAGTCGAGACTGCGAAGACGGAGTACTGTATAGCGATGGCTATCGGCTTCTCGCTTCTCGTGTCTTTCTTTCGTGGTCACCGTGCCTTTTCTCTTGCATTTCTCTTCGGTGGCTCGTACGAATACGCTCCTGCGGACGGAGAGTTGCCTTCTGCCTGCCCCGCATTCATCTTATTCATTTCTCTTGGGCGGGACTTTTTTCCCTTCGGATTTTTTAGACCTCCGCCCGCGAAGGTTATACGCAGCCAACCGCGACTGGACGTGGCTCGTCTCATCTGGGTCGAGATGCAGTCGGCTACTATTCCTCGTCTTCTTTTGGCACTTTGCCGCCATTCGACTTTCAATCCAACTCTTCTCCCTCTTGCCCACCTCCTCCCTCTCCCCTTACACCAACCAACTAACATGTCCCTATCCCTAGGCTTCACACACGCGCACCCCGGCTCCTTCTCCGGCTACCGCGACTCGTCACACACGCACCTCGACGAGCCCCCCAGCGGCAGCACCTCGCGCCGCCACAGCGTCAGCGTCGTGCAGCCGCGGCGCCTCGCGGGGTTTAATGTCCCGGATTCGCCGGTTAGCTCGACTGGCGGTCTGGGATTAGGAGGAGGAGGAGGATTCGGCGGCGGAGGCGGAGGCGGCTTCGCGAGCGCGGCGCGGAGCGGCGGGGGGCTGTTGTTGAGCGATGATGATCTCGAGATCGGGTTGGGGCTCGGGGGGATGCATCTTGGCTCCCCTCCCTCCTCCTCCAACAATAACAACCACCACAACAACAGCGCTTACGGAGGTGGAGGTGGGGGAGGAGGGGGGTATTCGCCTGCGGCACGGAGGGGCGGAAGGGACGAGTCGCTGTCGCGGTACGGTGGTGGGGGGTGCGGGGAGGGACGAGTCAAGGGAGAGGGAGCGGGAGCGGGAGAGGAGGTATGCGAACGATGAAAGGGCGGCGTATCCGTATGATGACCGTGCGGGGTACGATTCGCATGAGGGTGGTCCGGGCGGGGGGTGCGGGGAGGGAGCGCGAACGCGTGCAGCCGGGGAGTCTCCCCATCCACGCGCCGCTTGGACGTAGCCCGTCGCTTGGATTGTCTATCGGCGCGGGGCTCGCAGGGGGAGGGAGCAAGGACTGGGCGGACGCGTATTTCAGTCCGCCGCGCGAAAGCGCGCTGGGGAGTGGGTTGCCGGCGTTGAATACGAATGTTGGGCCGGGTGCAGGCGTGGCGAGGGGCGCGGTGTCGCCGACGCAGGGACGGGTGAGTTTTTTCTGTTCTTTCTTCCATCTTTGCCCTTTTTTGTGTTTCGCCTTCTTCGATATTTTGGAAGATGCTGACAATTTTTGTTTCTGTTTTTAGTATCCCGGAGGACAAGGACAAGGACAGGGGTACCAGCAGCAGGTGGGTTTTTCTTCTTGATTATTGGACTGGATGTCGTTGGGGGTCGAGGACCCTTTTTTTGGCGAGTGGAGATGGAGATGGTGATGGTCTCTCGACCAGGGTACTCCTCCCCGCATTCGCACTACTGCGAAACAATCTTGCTGTCTCCCATGGCCGCCATCGTTCCCTGCCCTTCTTGTCCTCACCGCGAGGCATATCTGCTTATTCTTCCTACTTTTACGGCCGACCCTTATCCCCGATCTTCGATCTTTCTCCTTCCTCCCTTCGTTGTCCTGTTCCCTTCCCTCTTCCCTATCCTTCCTCTTTCGCCGTACATTCTCCTGGTTGCTTCGTCCTCACTCCTACTCCTACTCGTCCTCTCCTTGTCTCTTATCCGATCCTCGCATACCCTCTGCTAACCACCGTCTCTTCACCACAGTACCAGCAACAACCGCCCTACTCCCCGCACACCGCCCACACCCCCGCGCAGGCCTTCGGCCAATACGGCCCCGGCTCCGGCGGCGGCCCCGCATATGCCTCAGCGCACCCGTCCCACCACGGCCCGCCCTCCGCGCACCCGTCGCACCATGGAGGGCAGGGACAGGGACAGGGACAAGGGCAGGTGGACCTGGGGAAGGGCCTACCGCTGCACGCGGTGCCGCCCGAGTGGCCGCTGTACATTGTGGAGTTCAAGGCGGGACGGACGGATTTGTTTTATAGGGCGGCGGATCGGATGGTATGTGTCCTTCCTTTCCCCCCACCTCCCTCATTCCCGTTCCCTCCTCTCGCCCCCTTGTCGTCCCCGTCTTCGTACTCCTTGGCCTTCGCGACGGTGCTGATGCAACTTTTACTTTTGCTTTTCAGGCCAGCCAAAACGGGCGCCAGGGGAACGGGAACGGGTACAACAGGGACGAGGACGCGGACCCGATACGGGTGGGCGATTTGGTGATTGTGGAGGCGG